TTTCTATTAACAACATTGGAAGGCTTTTATAAATAAAATACTTTGTGTTATAAATAAAATACTTTGTTTGCCCTCCTCACTTGTATCAGGCCCACAGTGTTCCTAATTAATGTCTTTGTTCTCTGAGCGTAGATATTTTCCTGTACAATACTATATTATTGCACTTTACTTTTCAAAGTATTGTTTTCTGCTAGGCAACAGCTAATGTGTGAATATTAGTGATTCATTCTTGCTCCTACTGTGAGTTTAGATGCTATTTTTCATCTATGATCAGTAATGGGAATTTCAGGCCCTAGATATGTGAAAGATATTTTTAGACAGTGTTACTATTTTCTCTAAATTACAATCTTTTATACCTTTGAAGAAAACCTTTATATGTCTTTTCTACAGTCATTTTAAAATTGGTATAAAGTCCAAAGGTGATGAAATTATTGTGTGCCTGATGGATTATAAATAGAAAAATGTTCATCTGTTCCAAGACACTTGAATTCTGAGACATTGGTTTATCCCTATTTTCTTACTGAAAAGATAATTTTACATAGAATCAATGAATTCTTTTGTGTGTATGTTTAAATATCCATGTGCGTGCACACACACACACACACACACACACACACACACAATCAGGTGTAAAAGCATATGTGTGCATGTGTTGGCCAGAGGTGTCATGTGTCTTTCTTGATCACTTTATACCTTATGGTTTAAATTTTTATGTTCTTTAATATGCATGAATGCTTTGCCTGCATATATTAGTGCACCATGTGCATGCCCAGTGGCTTCAGAATTCTGAAGAAGTCATCAGATTCACTAGAGTTATAGAATGTTGTGAGCCACCATGTGAGTGGTGAGAACTGAACACAGGTACTCTTCAAGAACAGAAAGTGCTCTTAACTGCTAAGCATCTCTGCAGTTTCCATCTCCTTATTTTTTAAGGCAGGGCCTCTCACCAAAGCTGGAACTCACCCATTTAGCTAGGATGTCTCACCAGTGACCCATAGGGATCCACCTGTGTCTCCCCCAGACACCAGTCCTTTGGTTACAGCTGTGCACTGCTGTATACAAAATGTATACAAAATGAAAAATAATAAATATATTCAGATTCTGATCTCAGAGTTTAATTTTTAAGTAGATAAGTCTCCAAGCACTAAGGATAAAGCTCATAGCATGTAAAAATCTTAATATTAGCATATCTATGTAGCCATTTTACAAATAACAATTTTTGAATCTGCTTAACAAAACAAAAATATTTTTCTAATAGATTTCTAGAAAAATAATTGCATGTGAAATATTAATGTTAAAGCGATCTAAATTATTTTAATTATATCAAAATGAAACACATACTTCTATAAAGATTTATTGGAAAGATAGCTCTTATGAAAAGTGGAGGTAGAATTCAAGTTTATAGTTTTTATTCTTAAGCTTTGTTTTCAGAAGGTTTTTATGAATCATTGTTAAATGCAATGTAAATAGTTAATCATCTACTTTGTCATGAGAACTTCAATACTGGATACATTAAAATTAGTTTAAGATAGTAGTACAGAAGAAAGTGATGAGCAGAATTATAATGGGGTCTGATAAAACATGCATATCATTTGGTTTATTTCATTATGTGATTATTATCCCTTTATTTTGTAGATGAAAACGTTGAAGAATACTGAAACTAAAGGTTAAAGGACATTAAATTAATGAACAGATACTGACTCAGTTGTTCCATACATTCATTTAAATCAGTATTGTCACATACATATGTGTTCATACACACTCACATATATGTGAAAACATGTTTATTTAGTGTTCTCCAGCTATATGTGTTTTGGGCTGACAGTTTGAGATTGTATAACTTATCAAGAAACTAGTCCCTTGAACTAGTCCATCTTTTAGCATCTTTTAATTGCCCGTGGTTCTTCAGCTAGGGATGGGTCATGATGAGATTTCTCTGACACATACTGGGATATCATCTGGTGTTGTCATTGTGTAGGCCTTGTTTAGTTGACCATGCTGTGAAGATTTCATGTCATGTATGGAAGGAACTATCTTGTAGCAAATGTCCTGGCCTTCTGGGTCTTATACTCTTTCTGCACCCTCTTTTGCAATGTTCTCTGAGCCTCAGATGTAGGGTTGTATTATAGATGAATCACTTGGTGAGGGACACCCCAAGTTGTTCTCTGTATTTTGAACAGTTGTGGATTTTTGTGATGGTTTCTATATGCTTCAAAAAGAAGCCTCTTTGATGAGGAGTGAGAGCTACACTGTAGTATGATTAATAAAATCCCAGAGACAGATTTGGGGTTCAGGCTGAAGATCAGAAAAGCAAAATATCCAAGCCACCAGAGAGCTCTTATCTCTACCAAGGCTAGGGAAATCCTGTCCTCAATGTGGCTGAAGACTAATTTTCAAGACTGAATGACCACTCTGAGACTCTGCTCCTGTCTTACATATCTCTCTAGTGCTGGGATTAAAGTTGTACACCACCACTGCCTGGCTTTATGGCTAACTAGTATGGCTGCGGTAATTAAAGGTGTGTACTACCATTACCTGGCCTCTGTGGCTGTGACTAACTTTGCATTATGATCTCCAGGCAAGCTTTATTAGATCATAAACAATATATCACCATACTACATTTATCTGTAGATGTGATAATAGGTATTTAGAGTGCAGTTGGGAATTATACTGGTTTAGGGAAGTGGCAGTAAAATTCAAGGGTCCATAGGTACTTGGCTAGTTTTAAACTACCAGACATGAATTTCTTTCTATTGAGTAGGCCCTTCTAATTAGGTGACTGTTGGTTATTACCAAGATGTTAAGTGCCACTATTGTACTCTTGAGTATATAGCACTTTTAAATGCTATGAGAGCTATTCCTCAGGGGGAAATTTACAGGTTGGTTCCAGCTTGAGTCCTCCAAGTTTTGTTTTTGAGCTTTTGGTATCTTTAGTAATAAGGTCTTATCTTCAAGATCTGGAAGACAGCCAAGGGAAATGGAAATCATCTTTGTTGTTTTGGGAGTTTCTTGGCTGCTAAAGCCTAACCACTCAAAGGAAGGTTTGTCATGCCTGGGACTGGGGTTTTTGTTGGATAATTTAGAGTCTTGGGAAGAACATTCTTACTCTAAGTGACATAACTCAATTTAAATTATATGTATATATATGTGTGTGTGTGTGTGTGTGTGTGTGTGTGTGTGTATGTATGCAACATATATTATTATATATGTATACTTAAGTAAGCATTTTCAATTTCACTTAGTATTCTTTATCATCTCCCCTCTCTTACCCCAGTAGTTCCTTCCCTTTTTCATGAAGTTGTTTTTAAGGTCATTCACTTCTGCTTCATCTGCGTTAGGATGTTCAGGTCTTGCTGGCATAGAATCCCTAGACTCTGGTGGTGTCATATAATTCTTTTTGTTGTTGGATGTGTTCTTATACTGTCTTCTTCCCATCTTTTCTTCCAGTGGGTACAGGTGGGGTCGCTCCTTCGTCTGTTGGGTTTGGGTTCAAGGCTCTCTCCTCTCCTCTCTCTCTATCAGAGGGTGGAGGGGCAAGACTAGAATGGGGACAGATGGCGGTTTTTTGTTTTGCCTCCAGTTCCCTCTGGCAGCAAGCGTCTGGCCACTGCAGGTTAGGGGACTCAAAGAGGGCAAGGTGGGCTGGAGGAGCCCCTGTTACTCACCTCTCCTGGAGGGTGGAGGTGCAAGATAGGAATGGCAGCTGATGGTGGATGCTTTGTTCTGCCTCCAGGTTCCTCTGGGGGATTCAGTGGCAGAAAGCGTCCAGCTGCTGCACTTCAGGGAACTCAAATAGCAAAGCCTAAGTTTCTTACAATTAATTTCCATGGCTTTGTGTAGAGTTGAAGTATCAATTTCCACACTGTATTATAGTGGTTCTCCACTTAGTCACTTGTTTGGCATCTCTGGAGCTGGAGGCAGGTGTTAGTGATTTAGCATTTTTCAGAACCTGAGTATACTATGGTTGGCTGTGCAGTTAGTTACTCATACTGCCCCTTTAAACATGGAGAGCAATAGTTAAAATGCCTGGGACCTTGTGAACCATGGAAGCTGACAACCTTTTTAGTACTATAAAATTCACTAGCCCAAGGAGTAAGGACCATGGTAGTATGAGAATGAGGAGGTCACTGGGAAGAAAGGAAGCTTGGTTTCATCAGAGGGGTAAAATCTATTTTAAGATGCTCTGTCAAACCAGGACAAAGCATGAGTATTGAAAAGTGATTCTGGAATAAGGTGAGAGTCAGTTTCAATGTTTCCTGACTATCATCAGCAACAAAAGGCTTGACTTTTTTTTAAAAAAAAAAAAAATAAAAGGTAACAGTTTTGTATGTGTGTATGTTTTATTGAACCCCCACAACTCCAAATCTGGAAGTTGAGTCTCCATTCTTTTAGCAATAAGGTGACAACAAATAAGTAAGTTAAACTTCCATTTATTTTATTTTTTTACTTTTTGCAGACTTTAGGCCCTTTGAAGTTTGCATTGTAAGGTGCAATAAGGCTTTTTTGAAAAGTATGAACACAACCTTTTAGTTTTGATTTGACTTCCAGAACTATGATGAGTTCATATTGTGAATAAATTAATCCCAAAATAAAAGACAAAATTTTATATACCAATAGCAAAGTAAATGTGAAGTTTAAATGAAACATGATTCACACATATTAAGAGCTTGCAACTCATCACAAAGATTTTACATGTACAAGGTCTATGTGATATTATAGGAGGTCAATTATGGACTCCTACTAGGAAATTTTTACAGTTAAGTTGTTTCTTAAGATAATATTTTCCATACTTCTCATGCTACAATATAACAAGTTATCTCTGCCATGACTGCCAAATTGCTAAAAGATCATTAGTTGTCAGTGTAGTAAAAATGTTATAGTGTTTATATGATGAAACCTAGCTTCTTTCCCTTTTCTTTAATTCCTGTCTGTAAGTATGCAATAAATTGTGCGAGCTCATTATTTTTGGAATGCATTTCTGTTGGGAACTAGAAATCAATTTATGGCTTGGTTTCTGTTTCATTTCTACTTTCATTCTCGTTTTGTATATTTTTCTAAATTTAAGTTGACACTTGCAACATACTCTCTTCAGTTTAAACTTTTGGGTGGCAATCAAGAGCTTTTGGACTGGACAGTTTTTAGAAGTTTTTGGTACATTTCAGACTTTAAAAATCTGGGATAGGAATCCATTTCCATATGCATATACACAATCTTTTGAGCCTCTTCAAAGCATGTTTGGGTGGGTTCTTGAATGCTTTTGATGATAGCATCTCTTGTTACACTGTCGATATTAATCTGAAAAATGAAATTACAGCATAAGCACAATTGAATGTAGACGCTTGCAATGGAATTCTTTAACTGACTACCCTGGCTTTCAGTGTAACAGCATAGGTTTGGGTACAGTTTTCATAGGTATCTAAAAGGACTTTTAGGAAATGAAGTCTTTGCTCTTTTTTAAAAGTAAAAATCTGCCTTTAGCATCCCAGAGCAATAAAGAAAATGTGTAGTCCATTGCTAGGGAACTCAACAAACCACTGCTTATCTAGGGGATGTCTGTGGTTTATTAGTGGTAGTCAGCAAATGTGGACATTTATGAACTGGGGAGCTCTTTTTAAAAAGAAAAGGAAGTTGGTGGCTGCTTTCAACTTTACCTTCCTTAGTAGTCACAAATGCTGTATTAGCCAAACAAGCCCTGAAATGGGAAACAAGTGAGGAGAAGTAAAGAAAGAGAGGGAGGAAGTGGTTATCTCAGAAGACTAAAAATTTCCAGAAGGGTTTGTGGGGATAATTGAATAATATAGGGTTATTCTGAGTGACAGAAGTCGCAGATGGTGTCTTCCACCCTAGCATTTAACATGAATTGTAATTTCTGGTTGTCTCTCTGTCAGGAGTTGCAGTGGTAGACAGTAACAGTAACATGGATGTCAGCTGAGTTCGTTAGTTTACGCTGAAGTGCTGTGGCATGCAGGACCAACACCACTGGGGAATGCTCATGCCCATTCATGGCATTTCAAGTTTATGCTGCCAGAGAATTCTTCCAGTGACCCCTGGTTCTTTTTAACTTTGCTGGGAATTAAGATAAACCAATGGATTTTTGATTTTGGATTAAACAGTTTACCTTTCAATGCTAATGCAGTAGGATTAATGACAGTACCACATAGGGTGAATTCACAAAGTTCATTAAGTTATCTAACTCTTAGGTTTTGTGACTGAAAAAAATAAGATTAGTAATTCTTTTATTTTTCCAAGACTGGGTTTCTCTGTGTAGCCCTGGATATCCTGGAACTCACTCTGTAGATCAGGCTGGCTTTGAACTCACGGAAACCCACCTACCTCTGCTTCCTGAGTGCTGGGATTAGAGGCATGCACCATCACCACCCAACAGATGACTAGTAATTCTTAGTTTATACAATTTTAGGAGGTATTGGGATTGAATATGTCTGCTATGTAATGATTCTTGAGTTATTAGTGCCTCCTAAGGGAAATCCAATGCCATGTCCCATCATTGTTACCTCTCTAGGGGACTGGGGCTGGATGTAGATATTGTAAAGCTTCTTTGCCCTAGAAATTCTGCCCCTCCGCGAGGCTATTTTCTTGTAGGTTTCACATGCCATCCAGAATTTAATGTTTTCATCACTGTGCTCCAATTTTAAATATGCTGTGTACACTATAGGACCATCTAAAAGCAGAAACATAAGATTGTTTTCATGGGTTAACAGTTATCAAACATTTAAGTAACAATTTATATAGTTTAATACAGAAACCTAGAGAAGAGTTCCAAAGATACAGAACAAGTAAGATTATCAGCCACACACCCAGGTCTCTCTTCATCTGAAACATGTTTATCGATGCCACTAGTTGGTGAAGTTACCCCTTTGTTTTGAGTCACTCAGTGGAAAATATTTGTCAGTCTAGATGTGCCTATGACAGAAAGGCCAGGAGATGTCATTAGAACCCACAAAATGGCTTAACTACACTGCCAGGCAGAACTCTCCCCATAAAATTATATAACATATTTAAGATCTCACAAAAAAACTGATAGGTAAAAACTAGGTTAAGAATCTGGCAATTCAGGGTTGGGAGGGAACTATCCAAGCTATGTATGAGTGATACTTTGATGAGGCAGAGTTGTCGGGAGTGTTTCTCAGTGTCCAAACAGCAGGAGAACAGAAAGAAGAATAATCGAACATCATGCTCATAGTTTATGGATCAAGTCAAAAATAAGGACCAAGTAAGGAATGGGATCCAGAGGGATGTTGGACATCTCAGAACCTAACACAGGGCAATGTGTTGTGCCAAATGTAATCATTAGATGACACTTGATGCTTAGATGAGTATCTTTGGCTCTGGTCTTGAACAGCCTCTGGGGTACATAAATGAGCAGAGTGGAAGGACTTTTATTCAGGCTCCATTTTCAGGAGCTTATGCTCATAGATTAGACATGCTCCCAACATGTTTAACTTGTTACTCATCATCCCTGGGAGTGTCAAGTGGTTTCAAGGTTTGAGATGAATACTTTGATATTGCCACTAAACTTTTAGTTACTATGAAGTTCTTTGTCATATCTGAGACATTTAATTGCTAAATGACAAAATGGCAAAGTAACTTTCCATGTTAGTAGAACTGTGTTTAGTCAGACTGAATACAAGACTACTGACTGTGTGAATATTTTCTTTTAAAAACACTCAGTCCATTATTTAATGTTTGCAAGTTGATGAGTTTTAAGGTCAGTACCTGTCCATGAGACTTACCACAAGTTGTACCACCAGTGCTCATTAACTCCTAAAGTATAAGATTTAGCTAAGAAAAAATTTTATTGGTATCATTAACTGTCATGAGTAATAATGACAATTGAATGAAATAGAAGTGATGGGTAAAGTAATATTTTCCTGCATCTTCATAGGAGGCATTATTAGATCAATTTCCTAGCACTAGTAAGTCAGGTCATATGTTCCCTTGATATTCACATTTTATTAGCAGTGATATAGGAAGAAAGACAGCACTTTATAATCAAGGAAAATGACACAGATAGAGTTAAATACCACTTATAAAAAAATGTCAGGATTGGGGAAGACTGGCAATCTGCAAGAAATATGGCACCCAGGAGACGCACAGACCTAGAGCATAGCTCACTGTGATGTGGACAGATGCAGCCTGCAGTACAGTAGATGGGAGAGGTTTGAAAGAAACACATATAGATATGGAGCCTACAAAGTGACATTGGTTGCATATTACTACCCAGTGGGAATTACATTATAACTTACATTTCATATAAGAAGTTTGTTTTCCTGCTGACATGACTTTGGGATAGACCTTGCCTTGCTATAAGCATTGAAAATTGGGAGCAGAGAACACAGTTGTGGTTATTAGCTCTCCTGCTAGAGAAATAGCCAAAGCTGTGGGCAAAGTTGAAAACAAAACAAAAAGCCGCTACTCCTTTAACAAGACAAATTGAAAGCCTGGAACTTCCAGTATGTATTGAGATAAAGTCTTATTAAAATGAAGGAATTATCCAGGCAGTGGTGGAGCACTCCTTTAATCCCAGCACTTAGGTGGCAGAGGCAGGTGGATCTCTGTGAGTTCAAGGCCAGCCTGGTATACAAAGCTACATAGAGAAACCCTGTCTTACAAGAAGACAAAGAAGAAGAAGGAGGAGGAGGAGGAAAGAAATTTATGTAGTTGGTATTTAGAGGAATTTTCATTGAAGACCTAGGTAGGAATAGAAAACAAGGGTTTCAAAATAGTGAAAAAAGCTATAAATCAGAAAACAGAGCCTGGTGAAGCCAGTGGGATGGTTAGGTAGATGGGAGGGTAGGATGGGGGTGAGAGAAACCAGTATTAGGTTGTATGTTATATCTAAATTTTTATATGCCATATAAATTATTACTCCAGAACCCACCTGTACCTATTCCTGCCTTCCCTAGCCTCTCAATGCAAGAGATGAATAAATATCTTTTCTTTTCCTTTGGTTGGAATAATGGTTTCACAACTCCTAATGTAGCCATTTCCTAAATTATGGTATTCTATATGTGACAGATGAAACACACTGAGTGTGGGTATTTGCTGCAGTAAGTAGTGCTTACTATTATTCTCAGTTATCTCCTGCTCCTCTAAGAGGCTCACATTCCTGTATCCCACTTACCTCTACACTGGCCGCTGGCTTTGTGCTGGTCAGGGAGAGTCATGCACAATGAGTTCTAAGGTGGAAGCTGCAGGCTCTTGTCCTGCTGTGGCTCTTGTCATGAGGGGAATAAATATAGAAGGAATCTTCTCTTTTAGCCTAATGCCAGAACTATGACATGGAATACTTCAGTTGTCATATATCACGAATGAGAAGAGAGCCTTCTTTATTATAATCAACTAGGGTTTTTTATGACACTTATTATTGCATCATAATTTTGCAAAAGCTGCCCCAGACTACTGGAACCTGTATAGTATTTCAGATATGACTCTAGCGTACAGAATGACTAGGCTTACACAATTGGTTTGTTTTATAGATATTTGTGTACACCAGGTGAGTTTTTGTCTGAGATTACTAAATAGCTACTTCAGCAAGCAGCCAGAAGAGTACCTTTGTGAAAACATTTCTGGAATCTCAGTGGATGTTAAATGCAAAATTGAACTGCTGAGTTGAGTTTAAAGCTGTATTGATTCATACCACAAGTGAATTGCAAGGTGAGGTATTTTCCTAAATTAGTTAGTGGGGCCCCAAGTAGCCCGTTTTGAAGTTTTACATTATGCTTAGGAGACTCGATGCTGCTTAGTGAATGAAAGATAAAGACCAGGACTGCTCATTTGAAAGGATGAGAAAATCAGTTTGTGTCATATGTTGTGAATGAATTTTCCTTTCAAAATGTGAGTGGTAGCATTCGTAATCTCTTCATTGCTTTTTATAAAGTAGGCAGTGAGATGAGTATGTCTCTGATTCACCAAGTGACATGCCACAGTTACTTGATGGGGAAGGAACACGTGGGATATCTTTTAACTGAGTCAGGATAGTGCCTGCTCTATCCTTCGCAGATCCTGCTTCCTGTACAAGGCAAGTCTCGACCATTCATTAAATCTTGTAGATGAGCTGCGGCCCTTAGTTCTTATTGAAGTATGTGTGAACTAAATTTAAACTCATGTACTTTCAATCTGCGCCACTGGGAATACAGAAGTTTCTAATTCTACTAGTAATTCTGTAAGCACTTGTAGTGAATCTTCAGTTGTATTAAAATTTGTGTTTTGTAGTTACAGTTTTCTTGACTTTTCTATTCTTTTTATGTGTTAATGATACTGTTATATTGTTGAGTTATTTTCTGTTATTTGCATATTATTTTGAGGTATTTTTGTAACCATCTTATATGAGAAAGCTTCAGTCAGTCTACCAGATGCTCCCTTCAGTATTGTTAAGAATTTCATTACAGGAAACAGTCCTTTAAAAAGTCTGATCGTATTATACCCTACCAAAACCTTCCCATAGCTCAAATGAACAGGGCTATACCTTTGATGGTACTTGCCAAGCTAACTGGGCAGAGATTCTACCCTCATACCCATCCGTATTCACTCCTAAATATAATACCTGAGCCATGTTCAGACACACTTCTGTAAACATACTTTGTGGTTATGTGGTGTCTCATTCATTTACATACTTTATTTCCTGTGTTGTGCTTTATAGCTTGACCTGAGACTTGGCTTATAGATCATAATGCCTGAAAAATGTTCTCTAACTCCCCTGGTTGCCTAAATATGCACTGTTAGTTGGTAAACAGACATTGTATAGGGAGAATCTATAATTCCAATAAATATATTATGCTCTGTTATATTTGTTGACTTCTTCCCATTGTCCTCCCATTCCATGAGAATCAGCACTGCACATCATTAATCACTGAATATACAGTTTCTATACACTGGTAAATGGCAGCTACTGGTGGATATATGTTTTATTATCTAGGCTGCTGTACACTTCATGCTTTTACATTTTAAAGGACCCTTTTATAAATCTTAAAAAGCAAAGTAGGCTGTAATCATCAACCATGCAGGATGTACTGAAGACTGAAGGATTATAATAGTAAACCATGGCTTTTCATTTTCTGACAGTGGTGGTGGGGGGGAAGGTGCTAGCTGACCAGCACTGTCTAAAAAATGCCATTTCTTTTCATGTTAAAACAGCATATGAGAAACTGGAGAAGGTGGAAAGTGCTAAATGTAACTCAGCTAAACGGGCTGAGGTGAAGTTGTACAGTAATATAAGGTGTGATGGAGTAACCATGGCAACAACAGTGGTTAGCAGAGATTAGGATAATTGGTAGTGCAGGAAGCTTCCAATCCCTAGTAGGAGGCAGGGAAACTCTCACAGATGAAGAGAGAAAAGACAATGCACAGGAGGGAGAAACAAATCCATCCATGGCTTCTCGTGTGCAACAATAAAGATGCTCCACCAGCCCGATGCTTTATCAGCGTGGAGAGATTTCATTGCCGTGAGCAGCTTCCAAGTCTTACATCGCTAAATCTGGTATTTTTAAGATTGTCCACCTGTAATTATGATAATTTACAAGGGGGAGTATAAAGTGCATTTAAGTATAATTTTGACCCAAGGTAAAGTATTAATGCCAGCTCTTATTTAGAACCCCTACCTACTCAGAATATCAGTGTTGGGCCAGCTGAACAGGAAACAGGAAAGGAAAGCCCACAGCT